AGACATGAGCCTGGAGCTGGCCTAGCAAACACTCAGGGGAAGCACCCTCCCAGCCCCAGCCCCACCCCCAGCCCCAGCCCCAGCTGGCAGTGCTGCTTTGCAGAGTGAGGCGGCTGTGGTGCCTGGGGCATGGGACACTCTGCAGGGCCGTGCTGGGTAGGCTGGGAGGCACACCCAGCTCATGGGGTCACTGCCATTGCCCCAGGGCTGCACAGGATCACTCACCAGGCTCCTTTGCTGGGGCTGCTGCGTGCCCTGGGGCTGCTGAGCTCTCCTCTGCCTGCTCACACCAGATTGAGCACATGAGCTCTGCTCAGTCCACCTTGGAGGAGATCCCCCCTTAGGAGGGAAGTGCTGCAGTGGAGGCCAGCTGTGCCACTGCCGTGCCCACTACCTGTCCCTGCCTGCATTCCCAGCACAGCCCCACAGCAGCACTGGCACCAAGTGAGAGGAGCAGCCGGGCCTGACCCCACCAGCAGGGCTCAGCAGGAGAGGGCGGCAGTGGCAAGAGAGCAGCTCTGCATGTCCCAAGCACTGGTGCTCCCTGGCCGTGCTGCTGGGATGGGACTCTTTTCCTCTGCACCCCTGCACACGGGCACTGCCCCTGCAGAGCCAGGATCAGAGTCAGAGGAAGGACGTAAAACAAAGAAAGCAGTGCAAGCTCCTTCAGCTTGTTTATGTTCACATAGAGCATGGCTGCACATGCACAGTGCCTATGAGATACGTTTGAAAGATACAAACTGAAATGGATAGGTGAACAACAATATCATTTTAATTGGCAATATTAGGTTAATTAATATCTGTAATAATACATGCACAGCCACAAACAAAACAAAATTACTGGCTATTCTTTAAATTATTGACATTACAAGTCATATGCAGAAGCTGATCAGAAATTTCTTGCATCCAAAACACATATAGTCAGCAATTTCCACAAGGCATGCTTGAGCTCCTGGCTCCTCCTGCTACAGATGAGCACGTGCTCTGCTGGAGGCACCACTGAGTACAGAACTGCCACCACCAGGTCCAGGGATGGGGAGGAGATGGAGGGGGCTTCAGGTAGGCATCCATGACAGGCCTGAGGGAGACGGACACCGTGGCCAGGTGAGGGAGGCTCGTGGAAAATGCTTTGTGCCAGTCCTGCTATAGAGACGACAGGAGTGTCATCTAGATGCACAAGGTCTAATCCAAATACACTGCTGTCGGATATCCCGACCAAAACCCCGGGACAAACAGACACAACGACCAGCGTTCCGTGCCATAACCCAATTTATTGCTGCATGACATTATCTTATATAGTGTCAAAGCGTCCCACCCAGGAGCCCAGGACCCCTCCCACTGTGCTCGCAGGCACCCCAGACCCTTCCCCTCATGCACGCAGGCACAACCCAGAATAATCCCACACCTCCCCCCTCTTTATGCAGCAGCGCACCCCCTTTAACCCGTTACGCTAAGCTTGATTTAATCATAACTACTAAGGGACTAGTATCCGTCCCAGGAACAGGTGGTGATAATGGGAACCCTTAATGATTTTTGGTGAGAATGGTCAGCATGCTGAGATTCATTACACTGCTTCTAGCTATTTTTGCTTTAATACATGCATATACTAGCCCTATCACAATGAATACTATTATTAGTAGCAATATTGTTTGCAAAAGCGATTTAAGCCATCCTTCTAGATGAATGCCTAGCCCCTCAAGAGTTGCCCCCAGCCAATTCTGTTCTGCGTCACGCTGCTCTTCATTAAAATTTATCTTCAGCACAATTGCACCCCCAGCAGAACAGCTTCTTTTCCATCCTCCGTCGCATGTGTGGTGCCGTCTGATGACAAGTATGTTTCATGTGTCAGATTGATACCTGCCTGCACGGTGGCATTGATACGGATGGTAGTCAGCTTCCTTCCCCGGCAAGTAACAGGCGGGAACAGCCCACGAAGTGTCCCATTGGGTACTGGCTCAGCAGACCGTAGGTTGTAAGCATACGGCGTTGGAAGTAGCGGAGCGGTCCGGTAACCCACAGCATACTCCTGCCAGTAGACCCCGTACACTGCAGGACACAAGGCGAGGACAAGCAGGAGTCACTTCGTTCGAGCCCACTCTATAGCGAGGGCAAGGAGTTCATCCCATTGTGGAAACGCAATGCGGGGCACAGACACATAGCCAAAAATCAGTAGGCTCTGCAGCTGGCCCTGATGTAGAATAATAATAGCTCCCTGTACCAATCGTTTTCCGGCCCAAGACTGGATGGCGGACTTGTCCACCCCTGCTCGATGGGGGTTGGGACCCACGCTTGCGGCCGAGACGGCAGGTCCCTTTTCGTCCCGGCATTGGCGTCTCCCGACTGCCCCCCCATTTCTTCCTCTTTCACTTCCCCTTTGCGTTGTGAGCACTCCCGAGCATGGTGGCCCGACCGCCCACACACCCAACAATGAACACGGCTGTCTTCGACCACAGGTTCCCTTTTCTTGGGACATTCACGAGCTACATGACCACGCTGTCCGCAGTGAAAAAAACCACCAGGATGCATCTGGAGAGCAAACGTCTGGAAGGCAGACATGACTCCCGCCATCTGCTCACTGAGGGCAGCAGCAAGAGGTTGCATTTCCTGGGCCTTGCCAAATGCACAGCCATGAGCGATCAGCTCGCCCGCGCTTGCTGAAGCCAGAAGCGCTGCAAGAGCGGCCTTGAATTCAGGCAGAGCTCCCATTCTTAAGCATTCCCTCAAAACAACATCTTGCGCTTCCGGTGATAAATTACTGCTTGCCACAGCTGTCTGCACCCTGTCTGCAAAGCGCCCAAAATGTTCCTCAGGTTTTTGCTGAATATGGAGATAACTGGGAGTCGGGCTGACTACAGCATTCATCTGCTCTAATGCTCTGTGGCCCAAATCGGCAGCGGCAATCAGCACAGCTTGCGGCAGCAACAGCTGTTCCTGCGGAGTATTCCACCGCCCCCATCCCAACAACGCTTCCCCAGGCATACCATGTAAAGGATCCTGGGGGTTCGCCCATGCACGAGCCATTAAGGCTTCGCCTTCCTCTTCCAGCAAAGACTCAAACATGGGTACCTGCGCTGCCGTCAGGCAGGCTCGGGCAACCTGCCACCAGTCAAACATCAGGGGCCCTTGCAAAGCCACCGCATCCAACAAAACCTGTGTCTGTGGGCTACAGAATCCACCCTCCTGTACAGCCTTTTTTAACTGTAGCAGCATCTTATAGTCTACCGGCTGCCACTGATGTCCCTGAGACCCCGCGAAAACAGGATAGCACCCTATTCACACAGGACTTGGTGTTATTTCACAACCCGAGAGAAGACATTCTCGCACACTAATAGTCCATTTTTCTCTTGCCTTCTGCACCTCCTCATGGATGTGCATCGGCTGCCACGAAGTAGCCTGTCTAGGATCCCGAGACTCCTCATCTGTTGAACTCTCACTATCTACTCGTTCTCTCTCTCGGGGCGCAGCACCCGATGGAACGGGAACGCGACACGCGGACGATGGCAGGGGCTTCTCCGAAAAAGACTCCACCCGCGCTTGCCCCCCCTCCCGCTCTCCAGGGTCAAACAATGGAGGGGCATACAGCGGCGGCTGGAGGGAGCCCAAAAATGCTGGCGCCTGCCCAGATGCCACCCCTGCCCCTTCAGGACCCCTGGCAGGGAACAGAATAAGGGAGCCCTTCTTATTTACCCCCCAAAAGGACCTGTCCGATGAAGTATGTACCGCGTTCCCTTCTGCCAGTGAAGCACTAGGCACTGCTATTCTTTCATGATCCAACCGAACTCGCAGGGGGGCCACAAGGGGGTTCCCACCTTCTTCTTTCTCCTGCTCCACATTATTTTCATCCCCCGATCGAGCCTTCTCCTTCGCCTGCCCTGACCCCTCCTTTAGATTGTTATTTACTGGCAGCTCCATAGGAGCCCGCTTATCCTCACCATCCCCATCAGACAAAAGCATTTGGTGCACAGCAGCCCACAGGCATGTCCCGTTGGCTACCTTTTCCAAAACCGCTCGCACCGACCCATACGTCGGTAATAAAGTCAGCGCCTCTTTGTTCCCAATGCAGGCGCTATCAAATAAATCCCGTCCCACCGTTTACTAAAAAAGTCTGTCTCAAGCAATGGACAGGAGACTGCCAGATTCCAGCGTGTCGCCCAGAACAAGAGGGACTGTACGTCCTTCTTTCGTAGTGTTATCCCTACTTCCTTGGCCAAGGATTTAACAGTACTCACCACCTCATTGACGCTATGCCCCATGGCCATCCGCGTACCTAGCATGTACGCACCACACCTAACTCGCACCACGCCTAACTCATGCCAACCGGTTTCATGTTGAGATTCGAATCACATCGGGGTCACCGTATGTCGGATATCCCGACCAAAACCCTAGGACAAATGGACACAACGGCCAGAGTTCTGTGCCGTAAGCCAATTTATTGCTGCATGACAGTATCTTATATAGGGTCAAAGCATCCCACCCAGGAACTCAGGACCCCTCCCACTGTGCTCACAGGCACCCCAGACCCTTCCCCTCGTGCACGCAGGCACAACCCAGAATAATCCCACACACTGCTCCTACCTGTGGCAGCTGGGCTCTTGGCCCTGAGTCCCTCCTGGATGCTGGGTCTATTCCCGTAGCTCCAGAGGATATGGGAAGAGAAGGATACTGAGACTAATGAACTTCTGCTGACATCTTTATTGTCTTTATCTATCAAGAAAGACCAGTTCAATATGTACATTAGATGATGTGGTTAAACCTTACAAAAGATGTAACATTCTGAATGGTAAGAATGAGATTATGAAAACCAAAATAAAATATTGTTCAAATACTAACAGAGAAAAATAATGCAAAATATGTTGTATAATTTTCCGAAACACCCTTTGATTTCTGTTAGGATTACAATTAATAACAATGTTATGAATACACTAGTAAAGATAAAAATGATAGGATACAATATGAATCAAAATATTTGCATATTATTAAGAATACATCCTCTAAACACATCATGGATGCTTAAGAAGCATGTATGGAAACAGTTTCCTGACTGCATCCTTGAGCTTCTGGTTCCTCATGCTGTAGATGAGGGGATTCACTGCCGGAGGCACCACCGAGTACAGAAGTGTGACCACGAGGTCCAGGGATGGCAAGGAAATGGAGGGGGGCTTCAGGTAGGAAAATATGCCAGTGCTGACAAACAGGGAGACCACAGCCAGGTGAGGGAGGCACGTAGAAAAGGCTTTGTGCCGGCCCTGCTCAGAGGGCATCCTCAGCACTGCCCTAAAGATCTGCACATAGGACAACACAATGAAGAGAAAGCAACCAAATGTTAAAGAAACACTAAACACAAGTGGCCCAACTTCCCTGAGGTAGGCATCTGAGCAGGAGAGCTTGAGGATTTGGGGGATTTCACAGAAGAACTGGTCCACAGCATTGCCTTGGCAGAGGGGCAGGGAAAATGTACTGGCTGTGTGCAGGACAGCATTGAGAAAGCCACTGCCCCAGGCAGCTGCTGCCATCTGGGCACAAGCTCTGCTGCCTAGGAGGCTCCCGTAGTGCAGGGGCTTGCAGATGGCAATGTAGCGGTCGTAGGCCATGACGGTGAGAACATAAAACTCTGATGCAATCAAGAAGACAAACAGAAAGACCTGTGCAGCACATCCTTGATAGGAGATGGCCCTGGTGTCCCAGAGGGCATTGGACATGGCTTTGGGCAGAGTGGTGGAGATGCAGCCCACGTCGAGGAGGGCGAGATTGAGGAGGAAGAAGTACATGGGGGTGTGGAGGCGGTGGTTGCAGGCTATGGCACTGAGGATGAGGCCGTTGCCCAGGAGGGCAGCCAGGTAGATGCCCAGGAAGAGCACAAATTGCAGGAGCTGCAGCTCACGCGTGTCTGCAAATGCCAGCAGGAGGAACTCGCTCACAGAGCTGATGTTGGGCATTTCTTCCCTTTCATCAAGGGCACAGCATAGACGGAAAAATACAGATTGTTAGGGTAAATTTCCCCAAACAATACTCATTTCTTTTCTCATTAAAGCCTTCAAATTATGTTTCTTTCAAGGTGACCTTTGTGTCTCTCCCTGGTTGTAGCCCTGCTTTGTGCTTGCTGAATGTCCTGTACACAGCACAGAGCCACAAAGCCCCACTGCAGTGGTAAATGTCGTTGCTATGGGCAAAAATCTCAGCCAGAGGTCACATCCAGGAGGGCTGCTCTGTCCATCCCCTGCTGCCCAGCTGTTGGCTGCTAGTAGCACTCAGCTGGGGGATGGCTGCACTCAATGATTGTGCTGAAAAATCACAACTCCTTGTCTGCAGGTCCTGAAGAACAGCTCAGAAAAGCCCTGGTGCAGTCTGAAAGCAGAGAGAAGGGAAGGGATATTCTGAGGTTCTTCACTAACGTGTTTATGTCTCAGTTCAAGGCAGTAGAAGCTCGGTGACCTGTGAAAATCAAACCACTCTGTTAACACAGAGCCTGCCCCACAACCAGAGCAGGAAGAGGCAGGCAGAGTGCAGAAAGTGCCGTCTCTTTGCAGGCAGCTCCTGCCCTGCCCTTCCCCTGCCCAAGCGCCTGGGCTCCTCAGTCAGGCTGAGTGCTGAGCCTGGCAAGATGCACAGGCCCTGCCCTGGCACACAGCCCCTGGGGCACAGCAGGGACCCTGCTCTGCACCACAGCCCTGGGCAGCCCTGCCTGCACCCCCGGTATCTCCTTCCTCCAGGACCTGCCACTGCATTGCCCTCCAGCCAGAGACTTACCAGGTTCAGGGCTGGGAAATGTTCTCCCCCAGTGAGCTCTGTGCATCCTGCCACACGCTGCCTGCCTTTAAGCACTCTGTCTCTGCGGTCAGAGCCCCCAGCCCTGCTGCACTGTGCAGAGGAGCTGCTCCTGGGCACAGCTGTCTCTCTGCACCAGGGCCCTCTTGCCACGAGCTTTCTCTGTCCCACAAGCCCGGCCCAGCTCAGCAGCACAGCACCAGCCCAAGGCACTGCAATCACTCCTCTGGGGGCTTTGCTGATGAGCCCACGAACCACAGGCACTCAGAGACAATTGAAGACATCTCTCCAGAAGTGCAAGTCAGAGGCAAGTTTCCTGCAGTGTCCCCCTGAGGGCCAGCACTGACACAGCCTCCCTTGGAGCTCGTTAGAGCAGAACCCTGGAGGCAGTGAGGACAAGGAGACAAAGGCAATGTGAAGGTGACACTGATGTGTAGGAAAACTGGATGTGTGTCAGCAAGCACAAGGGCCGGGCCTTGACCCCTGTCCTTTGGAAGGGAGATCCTTAGCAGTCACACCTTGCTCAGGACTCTTTGTGGGGCAGTAGGAGATGGGGATGTGCATGGCCAAGTGCAGGAGAATGGTACGACCCCTGCCTGGTTCATGGGAGGGGATGAGGAGGCAATGAGGCCCTGGTGCATTAAGAATAAGCTGTTTCCTCATAGGCCTCAGTGACAGAGACAACAGCCATAGCCATGGACACAAAGACCTGAGTCCTGATGGGACTTACAGCCTTGCCACAGCCATTGCTCCTCTCCTCACCAGGCTGTCTGAAGGACTCCCAGACTTCCAAATCTTTCACTACTGGATGCAGACCCTTCTGTGTGTAGTGTCACATGAGAGCTGAGCTGAGTCTGATAACTCAGATCTTCTGGGAGGTCCTGCTCCTTGTAAGGCAGTTATAAAGGAAGCTGGCCTGGTTCCTGGTGAGCAGGCACCACTGCTCATATAGCATCCCTCGTGGCGCCCAGGCCCTCGTCCTCCTGGGCACTGTTCACTCAGCAGGGTCCCAGTCTTCCCTGATATGTGGGTTTCCTCTTCTTCTGGTGCACTTCTGGGTTTTTCTCCTTGAAAGTGTCAAGTGGTTCCTTTAGGCAATATCCGGCAATTCCTAAAGATTCCTTCACACTGATGCTCCATTCTGTCAGATGCTCATGTCTGAAAGCAGGCAGTTCAGCCTTGGTGTGATTGTGCTCTCTCTGACAAGACAGCAGCATCAGGAGCTGCAGGAAAGTTTGATAATACAAGAGTAACCAATTGAATGGAATTGCAGCATGGAGTCACTGAAGGGCAGGGGGTGGCAGGCTGCCAGGTTCCACCTCTTCTGTGCTTCCATCTCATGCAAGCTGTCAGTTTGTCTGGAGTTGTGTCCTGAATGTTATGGGGCTGTGCAGGTCAAAATTAGAAGGGCCAAAGCCCAGCTGCAGCTCCATCTGTCTATGACTCTCAAAGAAAATAAAAACTGCTTATATAAATACTTCACATAAAGGAAGATTAGGGAGAATCATCATCCTTTATTGGATGTGGTGGGAAACCTGGTAACAAGAAAGGAGGTAAAGGCTGAGGCTCTTAATTCCTCCTTTGCCTCTAACTCTAGCAGCAAGACCAATTGTTCCCCTGGATATTTCTTCCTCCTCACGGCTGGTGCCAACATTCCAGGGTGCACTTTGTGGCAGTTTTTCTCTCCTGCTCTTTCCTACTGCCAAAGGAAGCTCCCTCAGGGTGGAAAGCCCTCCTGAAGTAGGCATCCCAACCCAGCAGGCTCCTTGCGGCCTCTCAGCCAACCAGACTCAAGTCACCTCAGCAGCATTTTCCAAGCCAGGGGCCTGCTGCTGGCCTTGCAGCTTCTTGTGGAGACACAGCCAAGCCTTGTGCCTCCTGCTGCCCAATCATGGACTCAAGCAGAAGGGACAGGACAACCCATATGGGGGCCTTCTTTCTGTCTGGGTCCTCCTGGGTCTGGAGGCAGAGGGGATCCCCCAGTCAGCATGCCAAGCAGGTGCCTTCTGCTGGCCTAGCAGGGCCACTGCCAGATGTCAGCCCAAAAGTGCAGCTCCCAGGGAGAAGGCAAGGCTGACCTGTCACCTCCAGACACAAGTGACCTCACAGTCCCTTTTAGTGACACGTTCCTGCTGCTGCCCTATCAAGTGCAGAGACAGAAGTGACCTCACAGTCACTGCCACAGTCACATTCCTCCTGCTGGAGCAGGAGACCCTGAGGCAGAGCTGAGCTCTCTCTAGTCCCGTAGGGACTAGATTTTACTTTTCTGTGTTAGAGATTAAGCAAAGGTTTAGTTGGAGTGTCTGGTGTTCTGCTTGTGGTGTCACATCTCTGGTTAGGGTATGGGCAAGCATTATGTTTTAAGGTTTTATTTTTTGGTACGGCCAATAGATGTAGTCTGGGGTTAAATAGAGCATTATAATGTTACTGTTAAGGGCAGAGATTAGGGTGAGCAAGAGAAAGGTAAGGGAATGGAGCTCTGCGCTGAATTTTTCTTCAGGTGATGCCTTGAGTTCTGCATTACAATAGTGGTTTCCTGTCAAGGCGGTTGACTAATGTTTTGGTTGAGGGATTAATGTTACTCTTGAAAATAGTGTAAGGGCCATACAAGACTGTTTGAAGTCAGTGTTACAGCAGCATCAACATTACCTCTTACCCTCTTACATCTACAAAGGTAAGCTTTCGAGCTCTTCTTCACTTCTTCCCTCACCCCAATCTGACATCTCTCTTGGCCAGGCTACTCCTGACCTCTCCATAACAGTCATCTAACTGGGATCAGCTTTTCTGATGACTCTCATTATATCAAAGTACCTGTCTCAGAGTACCTGACTACTCTTTGGGAGAAAAAGGTTTTCGTGATATATAATCTAATTTTTCATAATATGTAACCTCAATCTCCCCAGGCACAACTTGTGGCCATTTCCTTGAGTCCTACCATTAGTTATCTGAGAGAAGAGGCTGACTCCCGCCTCATCACAACCTCAACAGCACGTGTTCTCACCTTGGCAATTCCAAAGGGACACAAGTCACTGGAATGTGCTGGGACTTGGTCTGTGCTTACTGAGCCTCAGTCAGTGCCACTGACCAAGCAGGTGCAGATGGTTACCACACTGTTCTACCAGTTGGGGACAAGCTGGACATCAGTCAGTAATGAGCAATTGCACTGTGTTTAACTTGCTTTCTACATAACAATAACAATAATAATAACAGCAACTATTATTATTTCTCTTCCCTTTCAGTCCTTTAAACTGCCCTTATCTCAACACATAAGCATTTGGGGGGGTGGGGGGGGTGCTGGTGTGAGCCAACTGCTGTGTGGTACTGAGCTGCCCACCAGGTTAAAGCACAACACGTTTGACAACCACACTCCAACAGCACAAATCACCCTTGCAAAAGTCATCTCCCCTGTGTTCAGAGAAGTGAAGTTGGTGATGAATTCAGTCTGATTCAAACAGCACACCCCAACAGAGTCCCTGCTGCCTTGGGGAGCTGTCAGCCCTGAGGCCTTGGGGACACCTCCAGGGAGCCCAAGGGCACAGAACAAGCGATGCCATGGTCGGGTGCTGTGCTGCTGAGCTGGGCCGGGCTCCTGGGCCTAAGGGGAGCTCGTGGCAAGAGGGCCCTGGTGCAGAGAGACAGCTGTGCCCAGGAGCAGCTCCTCTGCACAGCGCAGCAGGGCTGGGGGCTCTGACCGCAGCTAGCACACAGAGAGGAGCACAACAAGAGAGGGCAGCGTGTGGCAGGACACATCTGCAGGCTCTTGGACACCGTGAGGCTCTGGCAGCTGGGCAATGCAGGTGGAGTTGCCAGAGGGGTCTTGTACAGC